TTAATGAATGAAAAAGAAAAACGAATATTTTTTTTAAAACAAAGAACCTGCAACCTTGGCATTATCAGCACATTCTAGCTGATTTGCCACTGTATGAACAAGGTACCACTGGCCTGTTGCAGCTCTTCTTGAGTTCCTGAGGCCAATTCCTGCCCCTTCCATTATTGAGGAACCCTGAGACTGAGACTTGGACAACGGTGGGTTTGTGACTGATGTGACTTCTGCGTAGGGTTGCCACCTTTGTTGTGGCAAAATACAGGACCAGGTGGTGTGGTTGGAGGGCGATCCCCTCGCCCCAACCGATCTGGTGCTGACGTGACTTCAAAGCAACCCATAATAACAGGGGGGGCCCTCTGGAATTTGTTGCACATGCACACTCACACATACGCATGAATATGTGGATCTGTCTGTACTTGGCTACGCAGAGCTTAAATACATGACCTTTCACATACCCTTCAAACACATGCATTTGGAGGGGATCCCTAACTTGGCAGAGGGAGGGAGAGAGAAAGAGAAAGAGAAAGAGAAAGAGAAAGAGAAAGAGAGGACCTGAAATACAGGACTATGGTGTTTTCCCTCCTAGGTGTGTGACATCATACTGTGTTCATAAGGAAAGGGTTAACTAATTGTAAAATGACTAACCTATAGGAACCCAAGGGGAGGAGTTAAAGTTAGAGTTAGTTGTTAAGAAGTCAGTCTGGAGTTAGAGAAGGGAGAGGGAGGATAAGTCTGTGGGTTGGGCTAGTTTGATGTGAGAGAGTGAGAGAATCTGTTAAAAGGAGTCAGTTAAACAGTTGGAATAATCAGTCAGAAGGTATTAGGAAGGTATAGGCCGGTAAAGAAACTAAGGTTAAGAAACTGACAAGAAAAATTATCTGAAACCATAAACTTGTTAATGCTTATAAAATAAACTTGTTTATTTGGTTTAATGTTAATAACTGCCTGGACTCAGTGTGTACCCGAGAGAAAAGGGTTGGTGGCAGCAGGGAAGCGATCACAGTGGTGGAACAGGGATCAATATACCATCAAACATCCGGGGACCCTGTGTGATCGCCACAAGGACAAAACTATATCAATAAAGGACATAGCATTTTGCATTGAAATACGGGACAATCCTGTATTATACAGGACAGGTGGCAACCCTTCTTTTGCACGACAGCCAAATTTCCGGAAAATGGGAAGTCTTTTCTTGGGTTTTCCTTGTGTTTCTTTTGGGGCTCTGAATATGTCTTAAAGTACCTCCCCTTTCCAGTTGTCTCTTTCATTGTGCATCCAATTATAACCAGCCGTATAAAAAACAAAACAACCCCCCCCTAAAATGAGTGGATGCTGTTTGCACCATCAGCACATTGTTATGCAATCCAGATGAGAACGCAAGTGTGAAGCTATGGTACACATTCCATGGCAACCGCCATAGATGTTGAAAACAGTTCTGCAGCATCTGGTTTAGGGATAGTCCGACTTGCTGCTTATGTGGGTCTCTATCCAGGATTTTTAAAATGCAGGATTTTATTTTAAAAATGAAGGCCGGGTGGGGGGTGGGGGTGGAGAAATATTTGCCACTACTTCTCCCTGTTGGCTTGCTTGCAGCGCTCATTTTTCAACAGCTTTGTTATTATGAAATGGGAATCTGCAATGGGCTGGCCTGTCACGTTTCGCCACCTGGGGTGAAATGAGAATGTGCTTTCCCCTCCCCCACCTACTACCATTGCCAGAACGTCCCTTTTCTCACCACACTTGGTGAGCGCCATGGGGCTCCTCAAAGTGTTGCCACTTGTCTTCTCTGCCCAGGGTGGAGGAGATGAATGGCAGAAATGCCTTGCCTCTCGCTGAACCCAGAGAGAGCTGGCACGCTCCTCAAGGCATTGCCACTCATCTTCGCTGCCCTTAGTTGCTGGGCAGAGACTCGCCACCTGGGTCTTGGCTCCATTGGTTTCAGGTGATGGCCTGGTATTTAATTGGCTTCAGGGGGTGAGTCCTGTGCTCTCAATCTTGCGGTTCTTCTTCCCAGCCACTCCAGCTGTTCTGCCCTCCTAATCCTCTTCTTGGCTCTTGGAGACACAAGACGGGAGTGTCATGTTCCTCAAGGTTCCTAGCTCCCTCTGTGCTGGAGGGCTGTGTGATCTCTTCTTTCCGGTGCTCCTGTGTCATGGACTGTTTGTACACAGAGGAAGGGTGGGAGGAACCAGCAGTGGAGCCCACAAGGGAAGAAGGCTCAGAGCCCAGGGAGTGGTGGTGGGACAATGATGAGTGGTCAGAGGAAGAAGACAGGGAGGAGGACGTGTCAGAAGCTAAAGAGATAACAGGGCTAAGTGAGCAGGGAGAGTCCACGGTAAAGAGAAGAATCAGAAACTGAAGCAGGAGAGGAGGAAGGCCGAGAGACAGAGATGAGTCCAGCTGGTGAAGATTCACAGATGTCTCCCCCTCCTGCTGTGACAAGCTCCTCTCCCCACTTATTTCCCAGAATCTGAAGAGAGCTGAAATGCGCAGAGCAGCGGCAAACTGCCTGCAGGCGCAGTCTCCAATTGCTTGGAAAAAGCCCTGGAGACGAGAGGACTTAAACAGGGGTGGTGAGGCGAAGACAACTGAGTCATGGGGCCAGATCTACAAAATACATTCCAAAATCAAGAACAAAACAAGCCTATAAGGTTTATATTTTTTAATCCCCTGGTCTCACAAAACTGTACCTGTTTCTGGACTGTACCGCTTCAGGTAGCAGCTCACAAGATTTTATGCGCCTGATTAAAAAACAACAACACAACCAACACCCTTCACATGGAAAAGAGCATGTTAGGGTCAAGGGTTCTAGTTTAGCTTTCTCTCCCGAGAGAGCCAGTGTGGTGTAGTGGTTAAAAGCGGTAGACTCGTAATCTGGGGAACCGGGTTCGTGTCTCCGCTCCTCCACATGCAGCTGCTGGGTGACCTTGAACTAGTCACACTTCTCTGAATCTCTCAGCCCCACTCACCTCACAGAGTGTTTGTTGTGGGGGAGGAAGGGAAAGGAGAATGTTAGCTGCTTTGAGACTCCTTCGGGTAGTGATAAAGCGGGATATCAAATCCAACCTCCTCCTCCTCCTCCTCCTCCTCCTCCTCCTCCTCCTCTTCCTCTTCCTCTTCTTCCTCCTCCTCCAGTGTGCTACCTTTCTACACACAGGGAAGATTTTCATGCAGAAGCATTCAACACTGTGCCATTTCCCAGCTGTAACCTGAAGTTGTACAGTACATAAACAGATCTACTACTTCCTCTGCTCTTTGTGAGAACTGGGATTAAGTGTGAGAATTGGCTAAGCACAGGGGAAAACCTGTGAGTTTCAGCTTTATGGGGAAGAATGCCTCCCACCCCCACAGCCCGAGCCAATCTTTGAGTAAGCGATCAAGATCGTATTTATGAAATTGGTGACCTACGTGAATTGGTGTCATATGCTTCCCTTTTAACAGACTGTATATTATCATTCTCAATGAAATATGACAATGGAGAGCTCTGTTTCACTCGTTAGTCATCTCCAGCTGCTATGAAAATAATATGTTTGGTATAATTCATTTGAGATCTGATGGGTTTAAGGCTCCTCTGACAAGATATAATCAGCTCATTATGGAGAAACAGAAGCCGTCCTTGTTGCAGATAAATTGCTCAGAGTTGTGATTAAATTACGGTATGTTCGGCAAACTGGGGATGGCTGGGCTTCCAGCACATACAGATGTTTCATTATCGCCAGACCTGCGTGATAAATGTTGAATGGATTCACTTTGTGCTTTTGAATGCATGTGTGTGTGTGTGTGTGTGTGTGTGTGCACGGCCTCTTGGACAATTTGATCAATGGCTGGATTAACCACCCCAAACCCACAAATCAGCGAACTCTCCTTACTCTCACTGCCTACATTTTTCCTCCTGTTTATAGATTTTTGCTATTTTTTAAAAAATTAAAATATTCCATTCCTTTCTCTCATGTTTGATTTCGGAATCAACACTGACTTATACAGATATTTTAATTTACATCTGACTCAGTTTTGCATGCAGACATCATAGAAGCACGGTCAATTCAATTTGCTGGGGTTTGGGCAGCTGAAATGCTGAAATGAGATTCCTCGGGTGTTGACATTGTTATAACGTTTCTTAAGCATTCATGCATTTAAAGCAGGGATGTTCAAAACAGGCCTTAGTTACAAGCTACTTTTAATATTTCTAATGGACTTGTTACCTTGGTTACAAGTCACTGTTAACTTTTCTAACTAGGAGGAAGTCTTCCTTACTTCCTCTTCCTCAGTTCTAGCTGTTGCCCTCTAGTGGCTCTTTGGACCATTGCCAGATCTTCACCAACACTGAAGATTAAGCTAGTTTCACCCCACTGTTAGTTTTGATTTTGCATAAGATTGCCCCCAAGTAATATCTGGATGGGCAAGTTGCTCCATTTTGGCTTCTTTTGTTTCTCACTTTCCCAATTGTAAATTCAGTTTTCCACATCAGCTTGTGAATTTGCTAAAACAAACAAAACAAAACAAAACTCGTGAAAATTCATCAGCATTTTAAGGTAAATGTATCCCAAAATTCATATTTTTTAAAAAATGTAGTTTTGCCTAATATACATATTTATGCAGTGCAATTTTCCCCAATATATTGCATTTTTTAACCTGTTGCTTGGCTTTGAGAACCAACATTCCAAAAGTCTGAGAAGTACAAATTTTGAGGGATGGCTATTTTTGGGTTTGTGTATTGTTTCAGAAAGTGTGAATTGGATGAGTTGGTTTGTAAATGTGAACTGAATTCTATCCCTTAGTACTGTTTCTTAGGGATCATACATTTTGTAGTATGTGATTTTGCCTCACTGCACCTCTGTCTCCAGGAAGAGCTAGCCAACGAAGTGGAGCAGAAGTGGAAAACTTTCCGGATAAAAGGTGTCAAGGTGATCTCTAGTATTAGGAGCATAGGAAACTCCCTTGTACTGAGCGAGCCCATTAGTCCATCTAGCTCAGAATTGTCTATAGATGCTCTCAGGTGTACTTGGAGATGCTGGGGACTCAACCCAAGACCTTCTGCATGCAAGTCTGATGCTCTGCCACTGAGCCATGGACATCCCTCAAGGTGTTACTGTCTGGTATTACTGGAAAGAAATACCAGAAAAGCAATGACAAACCTAGACAGCATCTTAAAAAGCAGAGACATCACCTTGCCAACAAAGGTCCGTATAGTTCAAGCTATGGTTTTCCCAGTAGTGATGTATGGAAGTGAGAGCTGGACCATAAAGAAGGCTGATCGCCGAAGAATTGATGCTTTTGAATTATGGCGCTGGAGGAGACTCTTGAGAGTCCCATGGACTGCAAGAAGATCCAACCTATCCATTCTGAAGGAAATCAGCCCTGAGTGCTCACTGGAAGGACAGATCCTGAAGCTGAGGTTCCAATACTTTGGCCACCTCATGAGAAGAGAAGACTCCCTGGAAAAGACCCTGATGTTGGGAAAGATGGAGGGCACAAGGAGAAGGGGACGACAGAGGACAAGATGGTTTGACAGTGTTCTTGAAGCTACCAGCATGAGTCTGACCAAACTGCGGGAGGCAGTGGAAGACAGGAGTGCCTGGCGTGCTCTGGTCCATGGGGTCACGAAGAGTTGGACACGACTAAACAACTAAACAACAACAACAACAACATTACTGGAAAAGGAAAGGGAGACTTGAGGCCGCTGGTTTTGGTGGCAGCTATGAATTTGCTGCCACATCTAGTCCTGAGCCTCTTTGATGTCGAGACAATCAGCTCAAGTCCCCTGAATCTTGGCTAAGCAAACACTGCAAGTGTTGACAGAGTCGTCTGAGTTTTCAAACGCTGGCAGCAGATTAGACTTGCTGAACTGTAACAGTCTGCCTCGGAGTTGTTCGCAGCAAAACCATCTGCCTGGTGCAAGCTTTCCTTTTTTCCTTGGTTACCATGGGGACAGAAGCAGTAGATTCCCGTAGCCAATCGGAGCGAGTCCACCTGAAAGCATTATATGAGAGGATGTTTGCTCAGCTCCTTGATTTGAGCTATCAGGAACATTAATCTATTTATCTGGCGAGAGCTCAAAAGGCAGTGGAGGGTGGGTGGGGAGGGAAGACTAAGTACTTTTGAAGGAGGGGGGCGGGAAATCACTTGATACCGCCATTTAGAAGATGGGATTTAACGAAGTCTGCACATTTTCAGACCTGGCTGGTGGTTTCGCAGCACTGCAGCTCCCTGTTAAAAACCCAGATCACAAACGAAAGGAAACAAGTCTAATAAATTGGGATTGATTTCTTTTTTTCTTTTTAACCGCGCCGAAATAAAATCCATCGTATAGACAGTGCACTGTCAATACCTCAGCCATTGCTTCCTGCCAGCAATAAAGAGGTAATTAAAGATCAGTTTATAGAACCAATACAATCATTTATACAATCATTATGAACGTACTAAACAACACTCCGGCTGCGTTTAGGCACAGTGGATTATGATTAATTTAGTGCTCTTGATTGAAAAAGCATCGGATTCCCTTGCTATGGGCACGGCAGTGTTTGCTGTTCATAAATAATTACTCGAGAATTATTATGGAGTAGCGTTTCGGTTTGTAAGGCTGAGTCAGGAGGCGCTACGCTGCAGGGAGTTTACGTCCTGCATATACCCCTTTTGGTGATGGCAGTGTGAGCATCTCTGCTGCGGCCAAAACTAGGTCAAGGAATCTCAAAAGTGGCCAAGGGAGCAGGCTGATCTGAGGGGAGTAGTACATTAATACCTCTGGTTACGTACCGCCCTCCTTGCCAATGCTGCAGGTAACTAGCTCTGCTAACCCGGAAATCCGCTCCACTTCCAAGTGGGGAGGAGTTGCGGTGGACCACGTGGTCACCCACTCCCCTCCAGGAGCGGGGGACTTTGTCCCCCATTGCCTGGGGCATCCTGGCCATGTCAAAGCCCAGCCAGCCAATCCACTGGCCGGGGGGGCGTGGCCAGGTCCCTTTAAGCAGAGGCGCAAGCTGGAGGGCTTCCTCTTTGGCTCGCTTCCTCAATCATCCGCCCTCCCTCCTTATTTGCAGGTTTTAGGCACCGGCCTTGCTATGGACCTTGGTTGGTCGCCATTGAGGGGCCTGGTAGGAATTTTTCCACTTGGCAAATTGGCATCGGCCATTTGGTTTTCGCCTACCTCGTAGCAATCGTCACAACTTTGTTAGGGTTGCGGTTAGGCATTGTTTGACCTTGTGATGGGGGAGGTAAGGTGTGGCCATCACCTGTCCCTCCAAGTGTAAGGGTATTCCGTTAAAGGAATCTGGGGGTGTTGATCTTGTCTGAAGCCCAGGTTGTCTGAAGCCCAGGCTAGGGCCATGACACGACCCCGATGGGAACACCAGGGGGTGTTCAAGTTGGCATGCATTGAAAGGGCTCCCCTTTCCGGTGGTTTAGCCTTACCAGACTTCCTGCGCATCAGGCAGGAGTCAGATATAGTTGGGTCCATTCAATGCCTAGGCCAATACCGCTCACATTCTGTAATTCAATAAAGTTGTGGCCAAATTTGCCCAATAACATAGACCTAATATCCGTGTCCTTGTGTGTGTTATTTCCCAATGAGGGGGTGGCTACGGGGTCTTTGTGGGAATGTTCTGGGGTGCAGGAGAGGATATATTGACTAATTATATCCTTATCCAACTTGTGCTAACAAGTTCCCAAAATATCAGCAGAGTTTATAAACATCCCCCTTTAAGTTCGCAACGGTAACGTGTGCACAGGTTCGCTAGAACCTCTATAATAATTACTCTGGTAATTTCCCCTTTTGTTCCCTCTTAAAATACAAGACATGACACTGTCTTTATAAAAGTATAAAAGAGTTTACTCACGTTCTGTTCACAATATGATCCCAGAAGGCAGACAGCTTAAAAGGTTACATACATTCAGAATCTATCTTATAGCAAGATAGTCCTTTCCTCCTCTCTTGGCTGAGAGCCAAGAGAGCATCTTTAGATGCTTCCTCATCGAAGGAAAATGGCAGAGAGAGAGAGTGGCTGCCTGCCCTGTGCTTTTATCATTTACCTGCACAGGTGAGGCCACACCCACCTCTGGTCACATGCGGAGGAAGTCCGTCCCCAGGAAGTTTACCTGCTTGCTGGACTGACATCCCTCCCCATGTTCTAACATGTACACTCTAGGAATGTTGTCATTGACTGCTCCTGTGTTTACATCCCACAGTCTTGACACTCCTGGAAGCAAACTTTGCCCCGGCATGAGAGCGGAAGTTGTGTGCCGGAGGCGCGCGCAGCGGGAGGCCCCATTAGCGAAAGCGCGCCTCATGTTAAGAACAGTTTCAGGATAAGAACGGACCTTCAGAATGAATTAAGTTCGTAACCGGAGGTACCACTGTAGTGGTTGTAAAAGTACAGCTCAGCTTTCTCCTTCTCTGCCTTTTCTATGGATCTTTTCTCCTAGCCATAACCAAACAACCATCTGGGAATCATGGCTTGGGAAAAGAGTTGGATGAGCACGTTCATGAGAACCCAAGGTACTATTTCTGGGTTAGCGGAGTCTGTAACATGAAGCGTCTGTAACCCGAGGTACCACTGTAAATAAACAATGTATGCACTCTCCCCTAATATACCTTGGTACACGCTGTTTGGTTGGAGAATTGTACTGTGAAGTTTATAGGTGGCCGGCTGCGTTCTGTTCAGTCTGTTTTGTGAAGTTCAGATGGAGTAGCTTGAGGCCAGGTTCACATTACAATGCAAAACAAACTGAATTCCACCTCCCCTCTCAACACACGACAAGGATGGCATAACTGAAAAGGCTCCGCATAGCTGGAAAGGATCTGTGCACAGTGAAATGAAATTGGCTGTTACCAAACAGCTGTGTTTTGTTTTTCAGAGATGCAATCTTACCTGTAGAGTGCTGAGTCATGGTGAGCACGAAGAATTTTGTTTTGCACATGTGATTTTTCCTTCTTCTTTTTTTAGTGTGTCTAAGGTAGCATGATTTTTTGTGTGTGTGCTTAAGCCATCCTTCCTTGATATAGTGAGGTCCAGCTCCGAGGGCCTTCTGATAGTTTCCTCACTGCGAGGAGTGAGGTTACAGGAAACCAGGCAGAGGGCCTTCTCGGTAGTGGCGCCCGCCCTGTGGAATGCCCTCCCATCAGATGTCAAGGAAATAAAGAATTACCTGACTTTTAGAAGGCATCTGAAGGCAGCCCTGTTTAGGGAAGTTTTTAATGTTTGATGTTTTATCGCATTGTTGTTGTTGTTTGTTGGAAGCCACCCAGGGTGGCTGGGGAAACCCAGCCAGATGGGTGAGGTATAATCAATCAATCAATCAATCATCAATCAGGCAGGCTCTTATGTGGGAACAAAGGAACTCAGAAAGGTGCCTTATCCTGAGTCAGGCCATTGGCCTATTAACTCAGTATTGCCTACACTGACTGGCAGCAGCTCTCCAGAGTATAATGCTGAGGATTGAATTTGGGACCTTCTGCATACAAGACAGGTGCTTTACCACTGGTGCTCTATATGAGCCAAATCGGACACTACAATGCTTTCAATGGTGCCACCAGGAATCCAATGGAATCCAATCCGTCCTGGTTAGCTTCCAACGCTCTCCATCTCTAAGCATCCCTGCAAGCTCTCATCTCCTACTATTTAAGTACAGCTTCTTGCTCCAGCAGTGACAGCGATGAAGCAGAGCGAATAAGGTCCCTGTGGCCATCCAATTGTTCTTAGACTCCCACTGCCACCAGCCCCAGACACTGCCAGATTTACACACCAGTTCAGTAAGTTACAGCTTAGGGCCTCGGACTGTGATTCTGGCATAGGGGTGGGGAACTAGATATCAAGAAAATAATGAAAGGACATACACACAGAGTACAGGTTGTACTGCACCCTCCACTAAGTAAGTGTTGCGTGTAATGGTCCTTGCGATGCTGAACATGAAAGTTTTCCAGACACTTTAAGTAAGAAATCGTAAGTTCTTTTCGTGGAAAGGCATTTCAAAAGCAAATGGGATTATGGCCACATGTGCGTTCTAGTTACATGGTCAGGTTTTTTTAGTTGCATCCTTGCCTATGTACTGGTACATTTGCAAATTATGAAAGTTTATTACAGTGG